CCCCTATTAAACCTTCACTCCTCTTGATGGCCAACTCTGGGACGAAGCTGGACTTCAGAATTGGAGGTGACTTCTGGCTCTTCGATCGCCGAAAGGCGTTAAATGGAGAGTAAGTCTCCATCTACAAATTATCAACCTGTTGCCCCCCACAAAAAACCTTTTTGATGGCACCTTAAAGTCCCAAAAAAAGAAGGGCTAAATGTTGACACCTCTGTTTCCTATCGTTTTAGGGTGGAATACGCATACAAACCACTCTATAACTTCCGATAAATACCCCCCAAAATAGTGCAGTAGGAAAGAAACTGAAAATCATACCACCAGACCTACAAATATGAGCCAGTTTGGCCCAGTGGTTAAAAAGGTTAAAAACCAGGAGACTGTGAGTTCTAGTACTGCCTTAGCCACGAAAGCAAAATGGGTGACTTTGGGCCAAAGACCAGGAGAATGTGAGTTCTAGTACCGCCTTAGCCATGAAAGCAGGATGGGTGATTATGGCTAAAGACCAGGAGACTGTGAGTTCTAGTACCGCCTTAGCCATGAAAAGCAGGATGGGTGATTATGGGCTAAAGACCAGGAGACTGTGAGTTCTAGTACCACCCGCCTTAGCCATGAAAGCAGGATGGGTGATTATGGGCTAAAGACCAGGAGACTGTGAGTTCTAGTACTGCCTTAGCCATGAAAGCAGGATGGGTGACTTTGGGCCAATCACCAGGAGACTGTGAGTTCTACTCCCACCTTAGCCATGAAAGCCAGCTGGGAGACTTTGAGCCAGTCACTCTCTCAGCGAAGCCCACTTCACAGGGTTGTTGTTGTGGGGGAAAAGAAGAGGAGAAAGGTGTGTTGGATATGTTCCCTGTCTTGAGTTATTTATAAAACTCATAAAGGCAGGATACAAATCAACCAATCAATCAAAATAAACAAAACGGAAACAAAAAAAACCCACCACACATCCTCCCCAGCAGCCTACAGCCAGAGAAGCAGGGATTAACACCAGACAAATAAACAGAAAACAATATCCTACTCAAGGAACTACCAAGGAGAAAAACCACATCCGCACCAACACCAGCAGAGCAAATTACTGTACATAAACAAGGAGCAATTATGTTACCTTGCCAGGTAATGAAATGCTTGCAAGCCAACCACTCTCAAAGAGCACCGAGGGCTTCACAGTAGCTCTTTGTTCACATAATGACAGAAGAAGCGCCCAACCTTCTCCTTTATAACTGAAGTTGTACACAAGGTAGAAATATGCTCCTTCTTTCAATTCGCATGTTGAGAAGCTGGGTTACTTTGTGACTTCCTGGTGGCAGTGACTTCGAAATTGGGACCTATAGTATTTTATATGTCTGTTTATCTATGTCTTCAAGTCAGTCTTGACTTCTAGTGACTGGATAACCCCTGAAGCAGTGGTGGGATTCAGATAATTTAACAGCAGGTTCTCTGCCCTAACATATGAAGAACGGTTGCAGGAACTGGGTATGTCTAGTTTAATGAAAAGAAGGACTAGGGGAGACATGATAGCAGTGTTCCAGTATCTCAGGGGCTGCCCCAAAGAAGAGGGAGTCAAGCTATTCTCCAAAGCACCTGAGGGCAGGACAAGAAGCAATGGGTGGAAACTAATCAAGGAGAGAAGCAACTTAGAACTAAGGAGAAACTTCCTGACAGTGAGAACAATTAATCAGTGGGACAACTGGCCTCCAGAAGTTGTGAATGCTCCAACACTGGAAGTTTTTAAGAAGATGTTGGATAACCATTTATCTGAAGTGGTGTAGCGTTTCCTCCTGAACAGGGGGTTGGACTAGAAGACCTCCAAGGTCCCTTCCAACTCTGTCTATTCTATTCTATTCTATTCTATTCTATTCTATTCTATTCTATTCACTGGCTGGGTAGGCGTGGCTGGGTGGTCATGTGACTGGGTGGGTGTGGCCATGACATCGACTCAACATCACTCACATCAAGGAGTACCTCACCTCACCGAGCCTCTCCTCGCCATGCCTGGCCCCGCCTCGCCCCTCCACTCCCAGCTACTCCTTGTCACGCCCAGCTACTTGCCCCACCACCCAGCCAGGTGAGTGACCGGGTGGCCAGATAAGCAAGTGGGCAGTGAGGCGAGGAGTGGCTAGGAGGGGAGCAGTGAGACGGGGCCAGGCATGGCGAGGCACGCTGTTCAGCCGGTTCGCCGAACTGTACAAAAAGTTAGCTACCGGTTCTACCCAACCTGTGCGAACCGGCTGAATCCCACCACGGCCCTGAAGGTTTCTTGGCAAGATTTCAGAAGTGGCTTGCTTCCTTCTTCCTAGGGCTGAGACTGATTGTTCCAAGGTCACCCTTCTGGAACTGTGTCTAAGGGCAGGACTAGAATTCACAATCTCCTCGTTGCTAAGCTGGTGTCCTAACCACTCCACTCCACTGTCTCTCCTGGGACAATCCTTACCACCCCTGAAAATAACATTCCTCTGCTTTGGACTCTCGTTATTTTTCACCGTGCAAAGAAAAAAAAAAGAACTAAACCGAAAACCGAAACTCTTAATTCAAGCAAAACACGACAGAACGCTCAATCTGTCTTCTGCTGGCTATGAATAATTGCTTGACAACCCCTTCATTAATTGTAACATTGCCTGGTTAATCAGCTTTCCCTATCCTTTTTCCCACCTTCTCAGTTTTGTGAATTGTCAGTCTCATCTTTGACAGAAAACTGCTGCCTGCCAACGGAGTTATGTCGCCGTGGGAAAAAAATACGTAAGGATGAGAAATGCTGAGATGCCATCGTATTATCCAGGAAGCCTGCTGCTTTCCCATTGGTTCGTTGGCTTCTAAGCACGCCGGCTGGGGAATTCTGGGAATTGAAGTCCACCCATCTTAAAAAATTATGGAGGTTTTGAGAGACTAAGTGGCTAAGACGCCGAGCTTGTCGATCAAAAGGTCGGCAGTTCAGCGGTTCGAATCCCTAGCTCCGCGTAATGGTTCCTGCAACCATTCTTCATTCTGCAAACCGGCCCTTTCTTGATTGGGATGCCCTGCGCACACTCATGCCCACGTCACCTCTCGCCTGGACTACTGCAACGCTCTCTATATGGGGCTCCCCTTGAGGGGCACCCGGAGGCTCCAATTGGTCCAGAATACGGCCGCGCGGGTAGTTACGGGAGCTGCATGGCGCTCCCATACAACACCTCTCCTGCGTGAGCTGCACTGGCTCCCAGTGGTCTTCCGGGTGCGCTTCAAGGTGTTGGTTATCACCTTTAAAGCGCTCCATGGCATAGGAGCTAGATATCTTCGAGACCGCCTGCTACTACCGACGGCCTCCCATCGACCTGTGTGCTCCCACAGAGAGGGCCTCCTTGGGGTGCCATCAGCCAAACAATGTAGGCTGGTGACCCCCAGGGGGAGGGCCTTCTCTGTGGGGGCACCTACCCTCTGGAATCAGCTGCCCCCAGAGATAAGGAGAATCCAAGACCTCAGTGCCTTCCGCCGTGCCCTTAAAGCCGGGCTGGCCTAACACTTTTTGAAATGTTTTTAATTGTCTGTTATTATTTTTAATCATGGGGCCAAATTTATATATATCTTTTTAATAGTTTTCAATGTTTGTAGTTTATGTTTTTATTTGGCTGTACACCGCCCTGAGTCCTCAGGGAGAAGGGTGGTATATAAATCGGATATAAATAAATAAAATAAATAAATAAAATATGTTTTAACCTCCAATCCCCTAATCATCCTGGTTGCTCTTCTCTGCACTCTTTCTAGAGTCTCAACATCTTTTTTTATAACGTGGTGACTAAAACTGGATGCAGTACTCTGGGTGTGGTCTTACTTTATAGAGTGGTATTTATTAGTACTTCCCTTGATCTTGATTGTATCCTTCTGTTAATGCAATTTAGGATTGCATTGGCTTTTTTGGCTGCCGCTGCACATTGCTGGCTCATATTTAGCTGGTTGTCCACTCCAAGATCCCTCTCACAGTTGCTACTATTGAGAGAGGTAAAACATATACTGTCCCTGTGCATTTTGGTTTTCTTGCCTAAATGTAGAACCTGACTTTTTTCACCGTTGAATTTCATTTTGTTAGATAGCGTCCAATGTCATCTCCCAGTGCTCAGCCTCTTTCATAATCCTTTCGTGGTCCTTCTTAAATCCACCCATGAATTTTACTCAAACTCCAGTTTTATTAGCTCTGGGCTATATATCCATCTGCCCCTTATCAAGTTACCTAATCACAGAACACCCCATGGAATTCAAACCGCAGTTACCAAGAGTAAGCAGGTAAAAACCACTTTACTTCCCTGCCTTCACCTTCGCTCCATATTGCAGCAATGAAGTTATTCAAATATTTACCTTTGATTTTTAGCCTATTATGCGCTACCCATCCTTCCATTAGCCTTCTCAGAAATCAGACACTGTCCTAGCTCTGGTGGAAAGCCAGACTGCAGCTTCTGGAGAGGGGTGGGGAGAGGGGTGGACAGGATAGGAACAACTCATGTGAATTTTACCAGTGAATTTTATCTCCTGGCCTTCAACATTTCCTCCAAAGAGTTGAACTCAGCGGTGAAATCCAGCAGGTTCTGACAGGTTCTGGAGAACCGGTAGCGGAAATTTTGAGCAGTTCAGGGAACCGGCAAATACCATCTCTGGTTGGTCCCAGAGTGGGGAGAGTATGGGGATTTTGCAGTATCCTTCCCCTGGAGTGGAGAGGGAATGGGGATTTTGCAGTATCCTTCCCCTGGAGTGGGGAGGGAATGGAGATTTTGCAATATCCTTTCCCCTGGAGTGGGGAGGGAATGGGGATTTTGCAGTATCCTTCCCCTGCCATGCCCACCAAGCCACACCACACCCACCAAGCCACGCCCACAGAACCGGTAGTAACAAAAAAAATTGAATTCCACCACTGGTGTAAATAGATCCAGGGAAACGCATCCTTGTGTTCAGTATATTCCACCTTAGAATATAGATCTCTCCACCCCCCTTCCTTTTGCTCCGCTTAGGATGGCTACTCCGTCTTGACTTACCTCTTCCCACTGATGAATGTACCGTATGAGCCTAGACAGTCTCAGGAGCCTCAAGAGGCTGAGGATTTTGGTGAAACGGACGATCCGCAGAGCTCGGGCCGTCTTATATACCTCCGAATCGATGCGGGTCTCCACAATCAGGAAAATGTAGTCTACCGGAATGGACGAGATAAAATCCACCACAAACCAGCTTTTGAGGTACTTCATCTTAATCCTCTGGGGGTCAAGGATGATCTCCGTGTTGTCTTCCACCACAATCCCCGTGCGGAAATTGAGCACCAGGTCAATGAGGAAGAAGGTATCCGAGACCACGTTGAAGACAATCCACGGGGTGGTGTTCTCATCCTTGAAGAAGGTGATGCCTACTGGAATGATGATCAGGTTTCCAACCATGAGGAGCAACATGGTGAGGTCCCAATAGAACCTAAAAGGGACAACGCAGAGACACGGGGTCAAACAGAGAAGAAGACACCAACGGGATCTAAGGCCTGAGAAAGGCACCAACTTTGTCCGCAACCTGGACAAATGACAGCAGGTTATTTGTAGGAATAACCAATGGAAGGGAATATGCGTAGCTCAGCATTGAACGATGGGGTCCTTGATGCTCTCTGAGCTGGGCTCATTTCTTGCAGGCGTTTCATTCCCAAACTAGGTAACATGATCAGAGTCAGAAAGTAGCAAACCCCACTCCCTTCTAGCACTGATGATATTACTTAATTTGGTGCTGAAATGTCTAGAAAACAAGCAAGCTCAGAGAGTACGAAGGACCCCACAGTCCTCCTCCTCCTCCTCCTCCTCCTCCTCCTCCTCCTCCCTGCAATCCCCACTCCCTTCTAGCACTGATAATGTTACCTAGTTGGGTCATGAAACATCTGCAAGAAAACAGCCAAGCTCAGAGACCACCAAGGACTCAACTTAGAAATGAGATCCATCTGAGAAGACATTCAGTTCCAGAACTTGCTTTCAGGGTTAGCGTTCTTATCCTTTTTTCCCCACAACGATTGATCTTCATTTTCCTCTTATCACTTACTTACCTTTTTAGATGAAATTACAAATACCGGGTTCTTTTTAGTACGTCAGCTATTGATATTTTAAGATATTTTGTAGATTTAAAGGTGGTTGTAATTGCTAATATTTCTGCACTAAAAGAAAGTCGGGAGTCACTTTTGTTATGTTTGTTTGATGTATATTTTGGTGGTTTTTAATTTGTCATTCTCTTTCCTTTTTTATTTATTTATTTATTTATTGGTTCGATTTATATGCCGCCCTTCTCCGGAGACTCAGGGCGGCTTACAATGCGTTAAGCAATAGCCTTCATCCTTTTGTATATACCTGCTTAGTAGGGCTTTTTGGCCCCCCCAAGCGGTGTTCTTTTTTATACAAAGTCAGCTTATTGCCCCAACAAACTGGGTTCTCATTTTACCAACCTCGGAAGGATGGAAGGCTGAGTCAACCTTGAGCCTAGTGAGATTCGAACTCGCAGTAATTGCAGGCAGCTGGTGATACTTAACAGCACTTTAGTCTGCTGCGCCACCAAGGCTCTTTTTATGTTGGTTTGCATTTTAATGTTTGAAGATGAAAACTAACGATGATATTTTTAATAAATGCATATAGAAGCTATATCTAAGCTATAAGAGCAAAGTGGGTCAGAACAAACATTTCCTATTAAGTTATCTAGGCCTGCTAGATATTTATGTGTGAGTTTGTCTACAAAGAATCTGTGTAGCTGCAAATGAAAGAATAATGCATGACATTATTCAGAACATTTTGTCCCAATTTTTAACATTGCTTTTCCATTGTTCTGCTGGCTTACTTCCTCAGATAAAAGCCCACGGACATTTGCACCATTCCTTAATATTGAAAAAAGGAAGTTAAAACTAGAATATTTTCTCCAAATAAAAAGGAATTGCAAATGGCTAAACAACTTTAACACGACAAAAAGACTTTATTTCTTTTTTTAAAAAATTACTTTTTTTAAATTTGATCCCGATTTTTAATTATATCTGTATAAATCTTTGTCAGCAAGTATTTCTTCCATGTTTTACAACAAAGGGAGAAACAGTACAGATTTATCTCCAACCATGTCAAAAGGCAACGCTCTGAAATATTAATATCACTCACAAAAGCCACATTAATTCCAGGTAATCTGGAGTGTTTTGCTGGGTTTTTCTTTTTTTTCTTTTGTATGGCTGAACTGAAAGTTCTCAGATTATTTTTTTCAGTCCCAAATGAAGCTTCTGGGGAAGCTAAAAGCCTCTCATCCCCCTCCGGAATCAACCTTCCCATGTACTTTTCTTCCAACATCTCCTGATCATTCTTGTGCTAATTTGGACTGAATTTCAAGCCAGCATCTTGAACAGGCCAAATTTGGTTACACTCATACCAGAAACCAATTTAGAATGAGACCAATTTTCTCCCTTTCTCCTTCCTTCCTTCCTTCCTTCCTTCCTTCCTTCCTTCCTTCCTTCCTTCCTTCCTCCCTCCCTCCCTCCCTCCCTCCCTCCCTCCCTTCCTTCCTTCCTTCCTCACCTGTCTTCCCTTCTCTCTCTGTCTTCTCCAT